GCCCTTGGTCACGACCTACTTCCACATTGGACAAATGTGACACCACCTACGACTGCTGCCCCTCACCTGTCTACGGTTTATAAGCTGCTTCTCCGCTCATATGCCGTATTATATTCAAGATTGATGGACTGACCACATCGACTCAAGGCTGAGGGACTGATTACCTCATTCTCCTCCTTTTCTTCAAGTTTCTCCTTTGTATGGACTGATGAAGCCAGTGTGGCGAAACGTTTCCTCAATAAAGATACCCAAGAGTTGCACATGTGTTTAATTCAACAACATTATCACAAGAGCACAGCTCATCAGGAACTGCTTGGAGGACCTTTTAAGCTTCCCCTTTAAGACAGGAGTTGGTTAATAATAGTGCTGGTAGCAGTAAAGGTGATAATAGTAGTTATAGCTAAAATTGTGTATTTTCCTTATATTAAATCATTGGTTGATTATGCCGCACCACTAGCTCTCGTGTAAGACTGGAAGCTTGGAGGGCTGGAAAAATTGCAGAAAGAAGCAAGGAGGATTATCATAGGATGCCCTCGTACTGTCAAAATTCTACTTATTCCAAACGGAGATCGTGTCACCGAAAGAAATGTCCTCATTGAGGTCAATATGCTCAGGCAAGCCCATTCAAACCCTTGCACAGAAGTCCTCCAAACTTTCCTCAGCACTGGTGAACACTCGTCCAGATGGATCATAAAAACTGGAACTGATCTCTGCATGAACCAGATACATGATCTATATCAAGTAAGGCAACAGCGGCACTTCCCCGCTCCATGGGATATTAACCGATTCCAGACCACTATCCTTTCCCCCCACCACTCACCCCCTCCCACCCTTAAAAAAAAAAAAAAAACTTCTAAAATCACAACCAAAGTTTCGCCTTGAAGCAAAACAGGATACCTTGAGCTGTATTGATAACTTAGCCACACAACACACACTTTCACAAATTATGTTGATGGTTTCCTTCACAGGTTGACTGGTGCAGCTGGTAGTGCTGTTGTCATACAGAATGATGGCTCTCATAAAGAAATTGGAGCACCCATCAATAACTGGGCCTCTGTCCATCAAACTGAACTGTTTGCCATACTCCTCGCACTCAGATGCGTCCATATATCAAGGGCTGACACTTTAATTGCAAGGAATTTTTTATCATCCATAAATGCTCTTAATCCCTTAATTATCAATTGTGGCATGCGTGTGTCAGAAGCCAGACACGAGTATGGTATGATTGTGGACAGTGGAGTAAGAACGCACCTTTTGTGGATTCCATCTCACATTGGTCTTCAGATGCATGATAGAACTGATGAATCAGCTAAGTTATATGCCTTCAGAGAGGTAGTAGAGTACAATCTTAGGCTGTTAGTTACCAGTTTGAGAACAATAATACGAAAAGAACTTAACTGAACTTCATTGACTTAAGACTGAGAGAGACTGACACCTCTCAGTCCATATATCATCATTCTATCATGCAGGAGGAGCTACATGTCTGTGGTGCTTCCAACATATTAAGCAGACTCTTGGATGTCACTACCGCTCGGGTCTGACTGGATTACCAGTATCTATGGCAGGTTACTCACCACCGCCAGATGATGTAGACCAAACTAAATGTAAACTTAGCCAGAAGGACAATTGTCACACCTTGCATCGTTATGTGCTGAAATGCAATCAAATTAATGAATTCAGAGACAGTTTCCTCAGAAATTTTCAGAAATGTCCAATTATTGTATCCACAGTGGCACATTACCAACCATTTTGGAAAAATACCTTGACTTTGCCCACTGTAAAAACGCATAACCACTTAAACTTTGTTTAGACACATTCCTTGCTAAAATATAAGGTAATATTTTTGTATTATTTTTGTCACTTCATGTTTGCATAAATAACTCATTAAGATTGTAACCAGATATAAATATGCAAATAATTCATTACCACTGTAACTTGGTTAGTTGTCAGAGCTTTGCGGCCCAGTCCCTGGACCTATTATGTACCTCTGTAATCTTTAGACTACCACCCACACAATGGCTCTGGGGTGCATAATAGAGCTATGACACGAACTACTCTCACAATGTGGTATCATTCATGCCTTGGCTGTACTCTCACAATGTGGTATCATTCATGCCTGTGCTGTACTCTCGCAGTGTGGTATCATTCATGCCTGTGCTGTACTCTCGCAATGTGGTATCATTCATGCCTGTGCTGTACTCTCGCAGTGTGGTATCATTCATGCCTGTGCTGTACTCTCGCAATGTGGTATCATTCATGCCTGGGCTGTACTCTCACAATGTGGTATCATTCATGCCTGTGCTGTACTCTCGCAGTGTGGTATCATTCATGCCTGTGCTGTACTCTCGCAATGTGGTATCATTCATGTCTGGGCTGTACTCTCACAATGTGGTATCATTCATGCCTGTGCTGTACTCTCGCAGTGTGGTATCATTCATGCCTGTGCTGTACTCTCGCAGTGTGGTATCATTCATGCCTGTGCTGTACTCTCGCAATGTGGTATCATTCATGTCTGGGCTGTACTCTCACAGTGTGGTATCATTCATGCCTGGGCTGTACTCTCACAGTGTGGTATCATTCATGCCTGTGCTGTACTCTCGCAGTGTGGTATCATTCATGCCTGTGCTGTACTCTCGCAGTGTGGTATCATTCATGCCTGTGCTGTACTCTCGCAGTGTGGTATCATTCATGCCTGTGCTGTACTCTCGCAGTGTGGTATCATTCATGTCTGGGCTGTACTCTCGCAATGTGGTATCATTCATGCCTGGGCTGTACTCTCGCAGTGTGGTATCATTCATGCCTGTGCTGTACTCTCGCAATGTGGTATCATTCATGCCTGGGCTGTACTCTCGCAATGTGGTATCATTCATGCCTGGGCTGTACTCTCGCAATGTGGTATCATTCATGCCTGGACTGTACTCTCGCAGTGTGGTATCATTCATGCCTGTGCTGTACTCTCGCAATGTGGTATCATTCATGCCTGGGCTGTACTCTCGCAATGTGGTATCATTCATGCCTGGGCTGTACTCTCGCAATGTGGTATCATTCATGCCTGTGCTGTACTCTCACAATGTGGTATCATTCATGCCTGTGCTGTACTCTCGCAATGTGATATCATTCATGCCTGGGCTGTACTCTCACAATGTGGTATCATTCATGCCTGTGCTGTACTCTCGCAATGTGATATCATTCATGCCTGGGCTGTACTCTTACAATGTGGTATCATTCATGCCTGGGCTGTACTCTCGCAATGTGGTATCATTCATGTCTGGGCTGTACTCTCACAATGTGTGAGGAAAGATTGAGACTTTACGTACGACCACCAATCCTTCTCTATCCTGTGCACTCAGCTACCTCTGGCAGCTCTATTATTTGGTGTAATATATACTAGGGAACATGTTAGCCCCACATAGTCTGTGCTCGCTTCTGTTATTAACTTGATGAGATTAAGACACATATGCAACATCTGGGTATCTTTATTGTAGACGTTTCGCCATCCAGTGGCTTTATCAATACAAATTCTAGGACATAACTTGAAGACAGTAGAACTATGTACAGAAGATGAGGTAATCAGTCCCTCAAACTAGGAGTAGGTGCGAAACGTCTACAATAAAGATACCCAGATGTTGCATATGTGTCTTAATCTCATCTTGTCGGTATTATATACCATTCGTACACAACATGTTATTAACTTGTAGGGACGGACGACTGGTGGGTGGGCGGGCGGGCGGGCGTGGGCATGCACCTCCACTACACACCTGCACTACCTTCTTCACCCGGGGTGACCTACGCCAGGCGTGGCATTAATGAGTTCCGAGAAGTGGTCACTTGGGCATTTCCGTAGCGGCCGCCGGGGATGCTGGCGTCGTTCGTGATGGTATGTCAGTGACAGCTTACATTCGACGTTTTCATGAACGTGGATACACCCGTATTGTGCGGTTGTCTCATTCTATAGGAGAAATTCTTTGGTGAACAGCTATGGTTCTCTGTAATATTCCATAACATACGGTAATTAAATCTGTCAGCCTGAGTGGGGAGATTTCAGTAGAAGTAAAAAACACTTTCACCAACATTTCACCCAATGGAAGCGTTATCAAGTACTTGATTAAGCCTCTAGTGAGGGAAAAACCTCGTATTATAAAAAGGTTTCAAAGCCGGAAGTATCTTTTACCACCATCTGTCGACTCATCACCATTCGTTTACAGACTTCACTGGCGGTGCAAGGCGCGTGGTAATTGTAATGTCGAGTAGGAAGCATTACTTGTTAAAGTGAACATCGTGATGAGTGTGTGTACACCGTGGCATCACCACGCTTGTTTCTAGCCTCGTACTCCACTTGACGCCACCTGCTCACATGGACGAACATAAACACACACACACACACACACACAGTAGTGGGGCCAAGTCCCTAACACCCATTATGTGTCTAATCTTGTGATTACTGCTAACAGGATGGGTATGGAGTGCATAATAAAGCTATAATATTAACATTGCTTTATATTTGTTAAATTGCTAAGTGCTAGTGCACAGTGAACATGGTTAGCTTTGACTATATGGTGGTAGGTGTTGAAGGCTGTGTAATGGAGTGGGTCCTGAATGTACATAGTGCAGGTGTAGGAGTGACTCCTACAGCAAGAATAGTTATACAACAAATGAAATTAGAGCTCCAGGCAGCCCACGCCGGCTTGTGTCCCATATTTTATATATTTGAGTTGAACAGGTTTGAGGAACCCTCTTAACAATATATTAACACTTGCTCGCATCACCCCCAACTCCCCCGCCCCCCCAACACAAAGGCCAAGTACACACTATAATCATAACCATAATTTTTAAACGGGTGGAGGGGTAAGCCAGTGGAAGTCCTCCGTCAGATGACTAAATTCTCCACGTCAGGAAACACTTGTTTCCTGACAATTTTATCTAACCTAAGTAAACACTAACGTAAGGTATCACCACACCTATTTTTTTTATGTTACAGCGAATTCTGATTTTGCTTTCAGTTAGTGAGGCTTGTGTAGCACAGCTGGAAGACTGCGCTGAACGACAAACAAGTGATACCTGAACATCCAAGTAATGTGGAATAATACACGCCACACACAGACAACGTTGGAAAAAACTGGAAATAAATTCAGCGTGATGCGACCCTCTCTCGACAACGTTTCGTTCAGACTGAGTTTTATCAGGACACACACATATCTGTAACTTGATAATGCCCACTATTTAGGCGAAAGGTTGTTAATAAAGGATCACATTATACTGCATTTGTGTGTATTTTCACCGTGTTTGTATTTTATACCTTTTATTTCCACTCAGACTACGAGCTCATTTCATAAAAAAAAAGATATAAAACACATTTGCGAGGATACTGGCATTATGTTCTTCATGTAGGGAATTAGAGCTGCCTTCCATTTCCTCGTATTAAACCTGATGAATATACCTCCCTTGGGACATATGAACTTGAATATCTCAGCAAATATACCTTGCACTGTGACCTCTCAACTTTAGCTGGACATGTCAGCTAAAATCTCGTAGGTGATTTGCATCTTATGGAACATTTCGACATAAATTCCACAGATTAACCTCTCGTGGTGTTATCTCGATATTTATCTTACAGGAGATACATCTGCTCATGACACATGGGTTCGTGTTTCAGTGTGTAGCTGTGAGAAACATTGTATCTCATATTTTTATTGTTATTATTATTATTGCTGCTATTATTGATAGTGTGTTATTATTATTATTGCTAATATTGATAGTGTTATAATTATTAATTTTATTATTTTATTACTATTATTATTGAGCAAATGAGAGAGTGGGTGAGATGTTATCAACAAATTTTGTTGAAAATAAGAAAAAGTTTTGGAGTGAGATTAACAAGTTAAGAAAGCCTAGAGAACAAATGGATTGTCAGTTAAAAATAGGAGAGGAGAGTTATTAAATGGAGATTAGGTATTGGAAGATGGGAAAGGGAAAATTTGAGGAATTGTTAAATTATGAAGATAGGGAACTGTGATTCGGTATGGCAAGGAGGATAAATTGTAGGGTGATTAAGACCAGTCTGGGTGAATTCTCGAGGACAGTTACAGATAATGGGGTGGCAAGCGGGTATTGTATGGGAGTAAAGATAGAAATGTTAAAAGCAGTGGGGATATAGTTTTGGAGTGGTGGTGCAATACTGACATACCTGAAGATGGTAAGTTACCTGGATTGCAGCTAGAGCATGCCATAGTTCCTGGAAAAGCAAAGGGAAAAAGAGTGCAAAAATTATGGGGAAGTCGTGTGTACCTGGAAAGTGTACATTAGGTTATAATTGGATTAAGATTAAAGAGGAGGAGAATAGTGCATGAATAAGAGTGCTTTGAATAGGGTGTAGTGACCAGGTGTTAGTGAAAACAATAAGGTTACTTGATATATAGTAAGGCTAAAGAGTCTTTGTGGCATTTATGGATTGGAAAGGCGTCATGACAGGGTGATATGAGGTGGGAGTGCTGCTTGCAGATAGTTATAAAAGAAGTGAGGTCTATGCAAGCCTGAACGGTTTTACGAGATAGTGGCTCAAGTTATGAGTATGTAGGAAAGAGGGAAATTCTTCTTAACCATAAAAAGGCCTTAGACAAGGATGTGTGATGTCCCGTCGCGCTCTAAATATTATGCATAGGGTAAAAACATAAATCGAGGGTCTTGGCAAGAGCGTGGAATTAAAAGATAAAGAATCACACACAAAGTGGGAGTTGTCACAGCTGCTCTTTGCTGATGACACTGTGCTCTTGGAGATTCTGAAGAGAGTTGCAGAGATTGGTGGATGAATTTGGTAGGGTGTGCAAAAGAAGAAATTAAAGGTGAATACAGAAAAGTAAGTTATGAGGATAACAAAAAGATTAGGTGATGAAAGATTGAATATCAGATTGGAGGGAGAGAGATGGAGGAGGTGAACGTATTCAGATTTGGGAGTGGACGTGTCACGGATGGGTCTAGAAAGATGAGTGAATCATAGAATTGATGAGGAAAAAGATGAGTGATGCACTTAGGAGTCTGTGAGGACAAAGAACTTTGTCCTTGGAGGCAAAGAGGGGAATGTATGAGAGATAGTTTTACCACGCTCTTAATGGTGTGAAGCGTGGGTGAATAATGATTGCAGCGAGAGAAGTGGAAGCAATGGAGATATGTCGGGGCAATGTGTGGTGTGAATATAATTCAGATGAATTCGTATTGGAAGTTAGGAGGATGTACGGGATTACCAAACTTTGTCAGGAGGTGTGAAAGGTTGTTGAGTGGTTCGGACATTGAGATATTGACGCGAAACAGAATGACCTTTTAAGTATGACTCGTCTTATGAAGGAAGGGGTAGGGTCGCTAAGAAAGGGTTGGAGGGAGGGGTATAGGTTTATGTGTGTTAGGTGCCGAGGCTTGGACTTCCAACATGCATACTGCGGATATTAAATAGATGAATGAGACAAATGTTTTAATACTGACGTGCTTTGAGTGGACAAAGTAACATTTTGAAGGGATTTGGTAAACGGCAGGCCTGACATAAATACCGAGATGGGAATACATGCCTTCTTGAAGGAGGGGTGTTAATTTGCATTAAAATGTTGTGTTTAAGCACCCTTTAGCGAAGACAGTGATGGATGAATATTGGTGAAAGTTTTTCTTTTGCGCTACCTGCCTTGGTGGAATCGCCGTTGATAATAAAAAAAAATATTATTGAATTATTATTATTATATTTTATTATATTATTATTTATTATTATTATTATTATTATTATTTTATAGTGTTATTTTATTATTATTATTGTTACTACTATTATTTAATTAGTATTATCTATAGTGTTATTATGTTTATTACTATTAGTAGTTATTATTATTATTAAAGATTAGCCGGTATTCTCCCGGCCCGGGCCTTTTCCAAGTGGTGGCCCGGCTTTGGCTCCCTCTTTAGGGAGTGTCTGAGACCTAAGTCTCCCATGGGAGGAGGCACAAGTACCCCTCATCTTTTTGGGACCAACTGTCCCCAGGCCTAGCCACAAGCTAGGCCTCTCTGGTCTGCCATCCCCGCCTCAAGGGGGCTAATGGGAATGACAGTCTTGTGAGCTGCAAGCTCGGGCTCAGGCACCTACCCTGCCCTAGAAGGGCTGGGCATGGTGTCGATGTATTAGTAGTATTATTGATATTGTATTATTATTGATAGTGTTATTATTATTACTATTTTTATTTTTAATAGTATAATTGATATTGTATTTATTGTTAGTTATTATTTTTTATTAGTATGATATTGTATTATTATTATTATTATTATTATTATTATTATTTATGATTACTATTATTGATATTGCATTATTATTACTATTATTGTATGACCCAGGATTGAACCCGGGTACTTAGGGTTGTGAGCCGAAGGCTGTAGTACTGGGGTAGGAGGTACCTATGTAAGTCAGACCTACTGTTATCACGGTGATCTGTACGAGGCAGCAGCTTCAAGGAGACTTCCTTTATGTGGGTGAAGGGCTCTTCATCCCAGGAATTGAAGCTTTCCTCCCCTTCTTTGGATCAAACCATCCCACAGACGCTGTAATGATCCCAGAGGGTTTAACACTGTCGCAGGAATATAATAATAATAATATAAATAACAATAATAATATAATTATTAATAATAATAGGCGATGGAGTGTGTTTTAATTCTCGAGTGGAGCTGTTTGTTTTTGGAGTGGGAGGTTGTGGTGTTCTTGTCATCGAGTGGTAGGTGGTGAGGCTTCTCTGACCCTCGAGTGGGAGTTAGTGAGGCTTCTCTGACCTTCGAGTGGGAGTTAGTGAGGCTTCTTTGACCCTCGAGTGGGAGGTGGTGAGGCTTCTCTGACCTTCGAGAGGGAAGTGGTGAGGCTTCTCTGACCTTCGAGTGGGAGGTGGTGAGGCTTCTCTAACCTCCCAGTAGGAGATGGTGAGGCTTCTCTGACCTTCGAGTGGGAAGTGGTGAGGCTTCTCTGACCTTCGAGTGGGAAGTGGTGAGGCTTCTCTGACCTTCGAGTGGAAGGTGGTGAGGCTTCTCTAACCTCCGAGTAGGAGATGGTGAGGCTACTCTAACCTCCGAGTTGGAGATGGTGAGGCTTCTCTAACCTTGGAGTGGGAGGTGACGCCAAGGAGGAGTGTGGCGTGAGAGGTGGGCCTCCCTCAAGTACCACTCCCGGGTGTACCTCACTCTGACCACAAACAATACGACTACTACACAAAAAAACTCCTCAGCATTATTCTTTGTTTCTGAAAAGCTGAGCACCTTTTTCCTGAGCTGAGCCTCTGCTGTTTGACCCATGTTGAGTCCTGTATGATCCTTACTAGTAGTGTTTCAGACTTTAGTTACTTATGTATGAGTCCTGTATGATCCTTACTAGTAGTGTTTCAGACTTTAGTTACCCATGTATGAGTCCTGTATGATCCTTACTAGTAGTGTTTCAGACTTTAGTTACCCATGTATGAGTCCTGTATGATCCTTACTAGTAGTGTTTCAGGCTCTAGAGTCTAGATGCTCATGAGGTGACTAAAATGAACACGAGCGTTCACCTTTATAAGGAGCATAAACATTAAGGAATGTAGGTACTGCCCTGCAAGGATAAGCCGTCATAATAACGTAAGACGGAGCGTCTTATGACAACCAAGACGCAAAAGTACGGAATACCAACGAAAAGACTCAAGACTCGTGAGTTATCAACTCATACTGGTGAGGACGACCAAACTTACGAGCAGTAAGCGACATTCGCAAACTAAAACAACTTAGAGGTAATCTATAAACAAACAGCATCAGGATTAGTGAATAACATTTAAAATGTCAGTAACAATAGCAAACAACTAGGACATAAAACAATAAAGAAGGATCAGTGACAAGCTTCAACGAGCTAGAACTAGCGTCTTCCTGGCCCCGGTAGTGGTTCATGCACTGACTCTCCCCGCCAACCCACTGTAATAGCCTGTGTTGAACTCGTTAGCAGCTGCTCCATGTGTGTGTATGTACTCACCTATATATGGTTGCAGGGAGCTAGCCACAGCTCCTGGCCCTGCCTATTTGCTGTGTGTGTATGTGTATAGCAGATGTTAATTATATAGGATAACCATAGTAAAAAGGTTAGTAGATCGAAGTGCAAACTTTAGACAATCATTGGAATGGGTGGTGAGCAAAAGACATCTAGTACACAGTTTCCTCTCTTCTCTCTTCCCTCCGTCTGTGTGTGTGTCTCTTCTCTCAGTAGACTTCCATGGCTGCTAATGAGTTTGTGGATGCAATAGAAAAGGGAAATCAACACGAGCTTCCAAGCTGTATTTACAAACGTGATTCATTCGTTTTCAGACTCCAGCTCTCTGACGTCCTTCCCTATAGTTATTTGAAAATATTCCAGATTCATTTAAAAAAATATTAAATAATAGCTTTTTTCTTTGTAGTATTAAAATAATATTGAGAGCTTGTGTCTCACCTGAGGAAAATAATATATGAAGGTTTTGACA